AAAATATAAATAATTTAATTTTAGTTTCGGGTTTCCGACACGTCATGCTCTGAATAAAATTCACGATGATTTGACATCGGCAGTTTTAAACGTTATTGATCATTTTTTCATTAGTTGCATAATTAATTACCTGAGCAAGTTTATCAGGTTGAACAAACAGTCACAAGAATTTACGAGTAATAAATTTTATAAATTTACTAAAATTTCCTTCAGAGAGAAAGAGAAAAAGAAAAAGAGATAGGGAGAGAGGGACAGAGAGAGAGAGATAGGACGAATGTTTGATCAGTAATGGATTCCAAGGAATTTAGCTGTTTATTTATTGGAAATATTCAAATTTACTAGTATTGATTTGAAAATTAAATTACTTTTTATATGATCTTGTTCCATACAGTTTTCATTTTAAACTTTAAATTAGTCTGTTTGAGCAAACAAAACGATTTAATCAATAATTTTTGCTCAGATTTAGAAAATTTCCTTCTTCAGTTGGGAATTCTTCATTATGAGATTTCCTAAACAAGAAATAGCATTTATCACATTAAAGAAATTTAAGTGGTACTTGCGTTTAGTGAAGTCGTGATTATGTATTTGTGAATAGAAACACTCCTTATCTATTTGATAATGTCAGTGACGTAAATATGTGCAGATTTCATGGAATTCTTAATTAAAGCAACTGAAAAAAAAATGAAAAACAAAATATGAAAAGTCAAACAAAGTTTTTAGACATATTTGAAAATGTAGTATGTTACATTAGACTTTATATTATTGTAAATCATAATTCAATTGCCTTTAAAAAAGAAAATAAAAATGAAGGCAATTTTAAAGCTAAACTAAGTCATCGAAAAAAAAATGAAACTTTGCATATGATCTATACATGATTTTATTTTTCATTCAATTAAATCGTAGAATAGTTAGACATGTTTTCCGTTTAAATCAATTTTGTTGATTCTGTAAATAATGTCATGATATCATCATTTAATAAGGATCATGGTTCACTCTAATTTACAAAATTTTAAAGCTTAAATATTGTGAAATATTTTTCAGTTCATAACGATTAAAGCTATTCGAAAAAATAATTGCTGTTTAAAAAATACAGCGAACATTGCTTAGTATAAAATTAACTGCCAATTACAACTAACCTTTCATTTGATTAAAAAATTAATTTAGATTACTTAAAACATAAATTTAAAAAATTGTCTGTACTATGGACTTATTAATTACAATATTTTATAGAAGTAAAAAAAAAGGAATGAAATTGATAATGAAATAAATAATAATGAATTCTTTAGTGAAAGGCAACAAAGTGGTCGTGTAATGGAAGTTGAGGATGAGGGACGACCTTATTCCGATGTCGTGTTAACAATTTCTGCACGGTTTGCATCACTTTAATAACTCCAAAATTGTTAATATGCAAATAGAATAAAAAAGGAAATTGATTGTAATACTGAAATTTAGAATCGAATAAAGAAAAATTTGAGAATTTATTTGAAATTTCCAACTAAAAATTTTTTTTTTTTTTGAAAATTTTTTTTTGATATTATGCATTAAGATGCATAAAATAATCATTTAGGGATATCAAAGATGTTGATACCGACTCGTACAGCGATCCTTTTTGCATTGTAAGCGAAGCAAATGCCGGATTAGTAAGATGCAGAATCTGGAAGGAAATCGGACGAACCGAAGTAAAAAAAAACTTCAATTCTTATATTTCAATCATGGTGTAGAATCTTTCAAATCTGTTTAGAAACTATATTATCAATTGATTTGCTAAATTTAATTAATTGAATGGAAAAAGATGTTGAAATTGTATTTGACGCATGCGAAATTGTTATTAGTGTAAATCTCTTTATTCTAATTTTTATTGGGTAAAATAAAAATATTTTTCGACATTTACAGGTAATAAACAACTGTTTGAATCCTGACTGGGCAACAAAAATACGTATTGCATATTTTTTTGAGGAGCAACAACGGATTCTTTTTGAATTGTATGAAAATGAATTATTTCGCATACTTTTAATAATAGCATGACTAATTTACAAATTATATAATATTTAATCCATTTTTTTTCTGAAACAACGCAAAATTTGATAGTTTATGTTTTCAAAAAAAAAAAAATTATGGCAAAATATTATATTTCAATTTTTGCTTTTAAGTTATTTTTACTTATCAATTATTTGGTAAAAACGAATAGTGGATTTTTAGATTTGATAAAGGACCGGGAAAAGAGAAAACACAAATTGGTTCAGCATCTCTTTTGTTGCATGAA